TTCTTGTATCTCCCATGCTCCTCTGGTGAGCTAAGAAAATGTTTATATCCCTGAGCCTGGCCTTCATAATTCCATTCCATCACACTGGGGTACAGACTTGTGGGAGTGGTTTGGGGATGATTCAAGAGTTCATGGCATTGATGACAATGGATGAGTTGATAACTAGCCCAACTCATGCAACTGGAGCAGCTAGAGCATGATCTGAAGTTGGAGGACATTGAAATTACTCCTTTGCTATGCTCAGCCTTTCTGGCCAGTCTGACCAAACCACCTTCTGGTCAGCCTACAATTTTTTGCCATTACTGATCTCTGCAAGGGTGGGGGACCAATTTTGATGCTGTGATTTATGGATCCAATTGGTTTCCTGCAGGTGCTTAGGATTTTTCCATTGATATGACAGGTAGTTCTGCCATGACCCTTGACTACTGGAATATAGATGCAATGACAGTGTTGAACAAAAGTGTTGAGCAAAAGTGCTCTCTCTGACCCCTTAACCTGGGGGGGGGGCGGAATTGATTTCAGGTCTAGCTATACAATGAAAACTGCACTGGTAACTCATCAATGAACTCTACTAGGAGCTGCATAGGGGGAGTGCAGCATTCTAAGTCTTATTAGATCTTTTGCCAGCAGCTTTTGATGCCATCAACTATGGGATCCTTATGGAACATCCCTAAGTCTTGGGAGTTGCAGGCACTATAATACATTGGTTCCATTCCTACCTCAGTGGGCGGTTCCAGTCAATAAGAGATGGGGGATAAGTGATCAAGCCCTTGGCCACTCTTCTCCTATGTTATTTAACAACTATATGAAGCCACTGGGAAGGCCATCCTCTGATTTGGAGTGAAGTATCATCAATATGCAGATGATACCTGGTTAGATATGTTCACCCTGGACCAGGCAGGAGATGCAGAAGGTGTCCCAATTCAGTGTCTGCAGGCTATAAGGGATTGGATGGGAGCAATTCTGGATTGGCTCAGAGGATTGGGGGTGGGCAGTACAGTGCTGTGCTGGTTTGTCTCCTTTCTCCAGGGTCGATTCCAGTCGGTGATGATTGGAGAGGAGAGGTCCCACTCTCAGCCTCTATTATGTGGGGTGCCACAGGGTTTGGTGCTGTCTCCTCTCCTATTTAATATCTACATGAGGCCACTGGGTGAGCTCATATGTCAGTACCCAACTATACATCTCTGCCCCTGGCAAATTAAGTGATGCTGTGGACGCTTTATCCTGGTGTCTGGAGGCTGCGAGGGTCTGGATGGGGAACAACAGGCTTCAACTGAATCCTGGCAAGACTAAGTGGCTTTGGGTTTTGGGTCCTACCAGTTCTAGGACTATGGCATCTTTGGTGCTGGATGGGATAGTACTGCCCCAGAAAGACCCGGTGCACAGTTGGGGGTCCTCCTAGATTCACGACTCCTTCTGGTGGCAGTTGTGGCTAGTAGGGCCTTTGCATAGCTTCATGTTGTGTGCCAGGATTGGGAAGCTCTGCTCACAGTCACACATGCCCTAGTCACCTCCAGATTGGACTACTATAATGTGCTCTACATGGGGCTGGATGAAGAGCATCCAGAAGCTTCAACTGGTGCAGAATGCAGTGGCACGGGCAGTTATATATGCTCCTAGAAAAGCACATATTATACCTCTGCTTCATGAGTTACACTGGCTGCCAGTCTGCTTTCATGTCCAATTCAAGGTACTGGTTTTGACCTTTAAAGCTCTTCATGGCATGGGGCTGGGTTATCTGAGGGATTGCCTCTCCCCGATTACATCAATCCATCCCATCAGATCCGGCAGGGAAGGCATGCTATGAGTTCCATTGGCCAGGGACTTGCATTTGGTGGGTCCCAGAAGGCAGATCTTCTCTGCCATGGCTCCCTCCTTGTGGAACATTCTCCCCCCTGAATTTAGGCTCATTCTCCCTGCTGTCATTTAGGAAGTCCCTGAAGACCTGGTTATGTCATCAGGCCTGGGCGGTCTTTAGGAACCAGAGACATTCTTAGATGGCTTCACTGTGATTGATATTTTTGCTCTCTCCATGGGGTTTGTATATTTTTTTTAAAAAATGATAACATTCTTATTTTAATAATTACTTTTTATCCTTTTATCATTATTGTTTTTATCTATTTGCTGTTTTATTCAATTGTTATATGTCGCCCAGAGTTGCTCTGTGTGAGATGGGTGGCTGTATAAATGCAATAACTAAATAAACAAACAAAGCATGAGGGAGTAGCTATTCTTCAGAAACTATCTAGTTGTCTGGGGACTCCCACATTAACTCTTGATGGGGTTGGCCCTCTCCCTGAAGAAGGTCTACAACCTGGAGACTCCTCCTGGACTTTGGGCTCCTACTCCAATAGAATCAGTGGCCAGAGGAGACTTTGCCAAACCTCAGCCTCCTCAGAGCTTGAGGTCCTGGCAACTCTCACTCACATCCTGTCAGGCCTTTGAGGTAAGCCAGATCAGGAAACTGTCTCCACACATCTGACTAAAACTATACATTATTGGGATTGGCTACAATAACAGAATCTTGAAAGCCTGACTGAATTCTCCACTCTCTCCCTCTTACACTGTAGTGAATTAGGGGGGAGTCAACCTGAGCTTCCTTCTCATACTTTAGCTGTTGCCTGGCTTAACAAATGCTTTTGTTTAGGTAACCATCTGCCTCTGCCTAAATTCCCCAACATCACCTCTGTGGTTCTCTACGTGTCCTCATTATTTTGACGTTGATCATAACATGCTCTATATGGGGCTGCCCTTAAAGACCATCTAAAAACTACAGTTGCTACAAAATGCAGCAGTCCATGTGCTGGCAAGTGAAAGTTATTTCAGCATCATTACAGCCACACTGTGAATGGTTCATTGGTTGCCAATAGGTGTTTGCATGCAATCCAAGGGTCTGATTATAATCTACATAGCATGTTAATGTCTAAGATATAAGTTACCATACCACCTGTCTGGTTACAGCATCCTGCCCAGAGTTGCGAGGAGTTGGATGGCAAATAAATTTAATAAATTATTGTCATCCCAGAGTGGGGGAGGGGGAATGCTTTGGGTTCTTTCTCTGAGAGAGGTTAGGAGGCTGGGAATCCAGAGAAAGACCTGTCCTTTTCAAATATGTTGCCCCCCAAAATCTGAATAGCTCCTGTGCTGCTGGGTGTTTTTTGAAAGCTGCTAAAATTTGGCATTTTGGGCATGAATCTAGAGACCACATTGCTTTTAACCCTCTCTTATATTCATTTTATTGTAATGTTAATGCTAGTTTACTGTATCATAATTTAATCTTTTATCTCTTTTTATCATTTGTAACCTGTTTTACATTACTGTTAGGTGTATTATTATTAAAGTATTTAAAATGTGTGGAATATGAACCTTGTAAGTAGGTGTTAGATAATAATCAGTTGCTGTTTAGAACAAATGAGCCATGACTAAAACAAAGACTTTAGACAGAACCATGTTAAAGTGTATTTTAGTTCAACTGATTTGAATACAACACATTTAAAGCAGGTGCTTACAATCAATAGAATACAAAGCATACTGTTGTTTGGGCTTATTGCAATGCCAGCTGTCTGCATTTCTGGTGCTCTGCTGCTAGTAAGAGTGCATGACATGAACACTGCATAGTAACTAGAGCAAGCAAGCCCTCATTCTCATTGTCCACAAGAAGAAATGCAAACTATAAGATCAGATCAGCTGTATCTGTCATGCAGTTGACAAAGCACAAATCAGCTGTGCATTCTTGTACAATCCAACTGTGACAGGCTCTGATACAAGTGATACAGTGACTTCCTATATCACGTCTCAAACTTTCTCAGTTGTTTCTCCCTCTGTGTGTGAAGCACTGAAATGATTTATATCCTCATAAATACATGGGCTAGATTCATACATAATATAATTTGATAAGAGCTGACTTAACTACTGTTTATATGAAATGGTTAGCCAGTTTTGCCGTATTCAACAGACCACAGTTTAAAAACCATGGCTTTAGTTTGACCTGTGAATCCAGCCGATAGGTGTGATCCAGGTAAAATTACAGTTGACCATTGAAATCCACAAGAATTTGTTTGTTTGTTTGTTTGTTTGTTTGTTCGTTCATTCATTCATTCATTCATTCAATTTATGTGGCAACCCATCTCACATGAGGGACTCTGGAC